GCACTGCAGTGACCCCTGCTTGCTACATAGTAAATCAACTATATTTTATTTTGGATTTAATAAGTTGAAAGAAAAAACAAACATCGCGAAATCTGAAATTAAAAGTATTAGTTTTTACATTCATGTGTTTAAAAACGGAAAAACAAAAAAAGTAACAAGGTTGTTCTCTTTTTACAATTTTATTTTGAAATGGAAAACCCAAAGAAGGAACCATTAAAGATGATGCGTGTCACTGTGTACTGCACACAGATACGATGATGACTTTCTGTTTTCTTTCCTGTTCAGACCGCCTCCCAGCCCGTCTGGAACCATTTCATCAGGTTACGGCCAAAGCCAGAATCGATCCGTTCCCATTTACGAGATGAAGTTCCCCGACCTTTGTGTGTATTAGAGCACAAAGGTCTGCAGCGACGTGGTGACAAAAACAACAAAAATAATGATTGTGGCATCAATCAACCACAACGCATGTGGGACAAACTCAGTTGCAACTTAACAAGCCAGATTATAATTAACTTAGTTGTTTTTTTCAATACACTTTTCCCCTTTCATGACAGCCAAAACGAGCCAGCTAAAGCTAATAAATGCAGCAAACCACATCACTTCATCCATTTCTAATGATTGCAGAAACTCCACTGGTTGGACTTTCAAATTTAGAAAATTGCCAAGAACTATGACAGAAAAACTGTGTGTCCCGTAACGGTTAGACATTCCTTTTTGCTGCTTTTTGTTTGTCCCTCACAGGGTGCCGTACTACTTTTTATCACTAAGTTTGTCGTTTTGCTCATGCTTTTCCAATTATTTTCATAGATTTGAAGACGAGATGGACATGTTTTTTTAATCTACGACCATCTCACGTGTTACTGAGCACCTTTTGTTTCGCCTTCTTAGTGTTAGCCAGAAGTGCTTTTTTTAATTATTATTTTTAACGTTTTTTTATGACGGGCATTTATTTTTAAACTCGTATTTATTAACTACATTAAATAGCCGCGATAACAAAAGTGAGAAGACACTACGGGCCAGTTCAGACCACATAAACTCCTGTGTTAACATGTAATGTTTACCACATTAAACACTAGAAAGATGGTTATTTTTTCCTTCTTCCCATATATATGTGTATATATACAGAGAATTATATAAATCTATAAGCCTATGTACAAAGCAGGGATGTTTTCTGTGAGTTTGAAACTGCCGCTGCACTGATATGTGTTTGAAAAGCTGAAGAATCCAGACTCCTGATGCTTAAATCTCAACACATGAAGGATCCATATGAACAGTCCACAGCAGAAACATCTCGACCCGATTCGTTGCCGTGCTGCCACATCCTCCGGTCCCGCTTGAAAACGAGCTTCCCGGCTGTCTCATTAAAATCCGATAAGCCATTTTCGTGTGCCCGCGTGCACACGCACAGGTAGAAAAACAAAGTATAGTGGCAATAATTTAACATGAGCCAGACTGACGTGGTCCAGACTGAAGGAAGCGGACAGATTTTTTTTTTTTTATTGTTGTTTTTTATTTATTTTTTTT